ATTTTCAACAAAATTATTTTGTTGTTTTCCTTTTTTTGCACTTTATTGTTGAAATTCTTTTGACTGCACCGTAAACAAAATTATTTCATTTGCATATTCGAATTTCTTGTTTCTCTCGCTTCGCTTTGTTTTATTATTATTATTAATATTACTATTGATATTATTATTAATTTTATTTGTTGCTGCTGCTGTTGTGGAATTTCATAATTCACCGTTGTACAGAATATTATAAATTACCAATTGCACAAAAACAAAAAGGAGTACAAAAAATTGGCAAATCAATACGAATAAGTAACTTAATATACGCTAATTAGCGAATAAATGTGATTCACCCCTTGCTTTACTAGCTATTCATAAATTTGAACAATTCATAGTCACTTCACCACACAACCGCCAACATTTTGAACGTTTCTGCTGCCCGTTTGATTTTTGTTTTTGGCCGGGCTCAAAGACGAGAGGAGCAAGTTCGTCAGCTCTGGCCAAAAGCGAAACACTGACTGACTGGCTGATAAAAACCTAGCCGAGTTGAACCGAAAAATCACCGGCGAAGAAAACCGATCCCCAAACGATCGTGGCTGAGACGACTGAAAAGCCAGTGGAACGACTGAAAGCCAAGTTGGTGGAAACGAAACGCGGCCTAAACTCGATGGTAGCAAGAGGGGAGGGCTCTGAAATATGCTAATCATAGGCCTCTGAAATATTAGGCCCTGGATTAGTCAGTGGGCGTACGAAAAAGGCAGCAGAAATAAGTCGAGCAGTTAAGGTGCAGCAATTGCAGTCATAAAGACTCATGAAGGGCCGGCGCATAAATTTCATGCCCAAAAAGAAAAATATACCAGTATTTTCAGTAACTCAGGATAAGTGCATTTTATGACCTACAAGTACTCAGACCGAAAACGGTTTGAGTGAAAATGTGATAAAGTAAACATATGGTCCTCAACAGCAATATTTTGACTGTAAGCCTTAATCTATTTGCACTTTATTTTCATAACTTCATATTTAAGCTCGCTTCCAAATATCGAAATATGCTATGGAAATATTTGTTAATGAAAAATATATTAAGATAAAATGGCCACACATTCAATTTATTACGAGAAACTTATGTTTCTAAACTAAGATATGTGATTCAATTTTTAAACACTTAAAATGTAACACTTACATCCATGTAGCATGTATTTATGTAATATTCGTTTTATTATGAGTACTTTCAGGAAATGTCTTTCCTAAAATATAGTCAAATTCGATCCAACTTGTTTCGGCTTATATTCGATGCCCTTATATGCGATTTGCATTTTAATAATTCGAGCATTAGCATGTTTAAAATAAAATACATGTATTGATATGGAAATGTAACAGTGATAGATGGAGACTAAAGTCAAATATTATCCAGTTACTAAAACCAGCTTACCTATGTTGATTTGAAGTCCACTTTGCATTTTTATTATTCTAGCATTCAGGTATTTCAAATAGAACACATAAAAGCAAATGCCAAATTCATGTTATGTAATTCTCGATGTACTAATGTGACTATCAGGAAATATCTTTCAGATATTTAGTCAAAATTGACCCAACCGCTAAATCAAGCTCCAATTTATGTTGACGCTGTGTCCAATTTGCATTTCCATCGTTCTAGCATTCCAATGCTCCACGCAAAGTGCACAGACGGAAGTTGTAAAAATGTATCGTAAAAACCGTACTGAGTCCGAGAAAAAGGGGGAAATAAAACAGTCCAATAAACGAAATCATTAGACAAAGGCGAACTAGGCAATGGCTGCAATGAGTCCGACAACAATAACGAGAAACAATACTTGCGATCGAATCAAATGGGGGTGCAAGGGGTGGGTGGCGGGGGCAGGGAATTGGGTGGCAGAGGGGCGGGAATGCAGGGTGCAGGGTGGAGGGGGAGGGGTGGGTCAGCGGTCGCAGGGGCGCACAACTTGGTGGAGTCCATTGGGTGCGGCGCCAACGCTTAAGCATAACGGCACAATTATATTCGTCGTCAGATATGTGCACACATATAGCTCAGCACTGGAAAAAATGTTTGGTCATTTCGCGGAAAATATTTAAAGGGATTACAAACCCTTTTTTCCATAAATAAATACGAGTTTTGTGTCTGGAAATGTAAACTAGTTAGGCCTTTTGAGTAACTGTTAGATGCTTACTCAACGAAAGTTAAAAGTTAATTTAGAGTTAATTTGTAAGAAATTTGCATGTGCGTGATTTTACAATCTGGATTAGTTAAGATTTTCTTTCAAACAATATATATTTTTATTTACTTATTTCAATTTAGGTATTTCAATGCCAGATTTGTTTTTTTATGCTGCCGCTTAAATTCTTAAACAAGTAATCCCAAATTGGGTGTTTTTGAGCCAAATCCCGAATAGTATTTCAATATTCTATAGCACACTTTTGGGCAACGATTGCTTAAGAATATGATAGTAATCAAGGTGTTTAACTGGACAGAATCATAATTCTCTTGAAATGATACCTAACTTATTAAACAGCTGCTTGCATAATTTATGTATAAGCAATTATTGCAGTGAGTTTGTTCACTGTGCACTTGCGCGGTAACAGTGCGCATATGTATATTATAATTTAAAAATTTTTTCCATACAATTTTTCTATCTTTTTTGCCACATTCTCCAAGGACAAACAACATTTTAGTGAGCGACGACGTAGCCGGCGGCTAACGGCACAAACCCATTCCAAGATTGATCTACAAAATACGAAATACAAAATACGAGGTACAAAATGCGAGATACAAAATGCGAAACTTCAGCACCGAGTTTTTCGCGCCGGCGGACTTTCCTTTTTCTAACCTACGTGTGTGCGCGTGTGTGAGTGTGTGTCTGTGTGAGCCAAGTGTGCGGGCGCGCACTAAAACAATAACAAATTTAAACTAAGCGCAGAAAAAAGGCAGTAAAAAATTAAAATCCAGCTCCGCGAAGAAAAGGTGTGGCAACGTTCTGTTTCTGTGTGTGGTTAGTAGACTATACACGTAGTATACTATAGCTATAGTCGACTATTGCTTATGCTATAACCATTACTGTTACTATAACTATTACAGTTACAGTTACAGTTACAGTTGCCGTTACCGTTACAGTTTCCATTTCAAAAGGCGCCAAAGTTCGCTTTTCAGCAGCTCTAAGACAAAGCCTCCAACACTCAACTGTCAATTGATTTTAAGAACCCATTAAATCCATTCAAAATAATAAATAAATATTGTTCAATTAGAAAATGTAGTCACTGAAAGGGAAATGGTAAAAAAGGTAATTAAATAGTATTTAATAAAAATATTTCTATTGAAGTGGTTAAGCAATAATCCATCAATATTCCAACTTTCTACCACAAAAATTTACCTAACACTTGAATATAATAGCCAGTTTTTTTACATTTAACTTGAGTTTGATTCAGTGTGCATATCCTCAACTTCTTATATATGTACGTTGTTGGCCAATAAATTCGTCATTGATTTTGGCCCGCAAATTTATGCACAGCGAGGCGAAATCCTTTTTGGCCATTAAGTTTTGGCGCTTGCCAAATCGTTTAGCAATTTATTCAAAGCGTCACAGCGACAATTCACTTTTCGGATATGGATTCATGGGATTAGAATTGGAATTGGAATCAAGCTCAGAATCGGGGCGTTTTTTTGCTGCCGGTGTGGCTTTTGCGCAATGCCAAAATTTATGGCCAACCACTTACCCGCCAGCAAGGTCAGAACACTCAGAAGTGCTGCTGCTGGTGGTTCTGCAAGTTCTGGTCGCTCTGGTGGCTCTGGTGGCTCTGGTGGTGCCACCGCCGAATATCCAGGAGTGGGGCATGCAACAGGTCACCGCGATAAACCAGGAGCCGTTCCAATGAGTCAGCAGCAGCTCGACTTTGATTTGTTGCACTTGGGGGCGAATATAAATCAGTTAGCAATTGCACATTCCCAAGGCCGCCACCACACAACCACAACAAAAGGCTCCGGACCCACCCGACACCCAGGCCCATGCACTCGAAAAAAAGCTTAGCTCATCCAGTTCATATTTAGAAAGGACCGGTTATTGTGTAACTATTTTATTAAACGGAACTAATTAGGAACAGATTTTATTTTCATTATTATCATATTTATAAAATTGTCTTATATTCACGATAAAAAAAATAATATAATATATATATTCTATATATAATATAATATTCTATTAAACACATTTGACAATCGCTGTAACAACATATGATAAAATGTAAAACCAAACTCTTTAAGTCATATATATTTCCAGACATTGGGTGCCTTAAGATGGTATTATAAATCCATAAATCAACACAAACTATTCTTCTTATAAAAACTGTCACGTTTTTTTCAAATTTCTCACTGTGCACTGTACAGTCGTAGCCGTTGGTATGATTGACAGAATCGGTAGTGCGGCATGTTTCGCCCAGTGCATTGAAACCCATGGAAAAGCCGCGCAAAGGTCAAGTCAAGTGAAATTGGTTGGGAAAAAGGCGAGAAAGCAGGCGACGGAGGCGCACAGTGAAGAAATTATGTCAAAATTTGAATTAGCAGTTGGGAAAATAAAATGGCGCGACCAGAAAGACAATGGCGGTGCATAAATTAATTTTCCTATCAGCTGCAGCCTCGGAAAAGTGCATTCGCTTTTCACTTTCGTGTCGGCTGCTGGGGCTCTGAATTGGATTGGTTTGGGTGGGATTGGATTGGAGTAGGCTCGAGTGGAGTGGAGTGGAGTGGACGTGGTTGTGTGGGCTGTGGTTCAGTTTCCAGCTGTTCGCGAGAATCGCATCGGGGCGATAAAGCCGTTGACAGAAGCGGTTTCCCTTTTCGCACTGCGGTTTCGCCCTTGGCGTGCGGTGAAAATGCATTTTCCCAGCGACGCTGAAGAATGGGGAAAACTGCATTAGAAATGAGGAAAAACATTCGCCCGTGAAAATTGGTTTTCGGTTGGTTTTTCCCACTTCAGATTTTATTTCGGTATTGAATGGACTTTCCTGATTTAAGCTGGCCTTTAATCTTTTTAGCTTACCCTCTAGATTTAAAATTGTAACGCTTTTGGTTTCGATCAATGTTAAATAATAATAAAGGTATTTTTTAGTTCATTTTTAAGCTTATGTCAATAGTGCTGCCAGAGTTTAGGACGAAATAAGTTTTGTGCCCAAAAATGAACAAAAACAAATTTTTAAACTTAATAAGTACAAGCCAACTATTTATGTTTAAGAACTTTCGAATAGATATTATCAAAAAGTAATAATTTGCTGATTATAGCTACTTCCACATTAATATCCCTGAAACCTGGCATCACTGGTCCGTCGATTGCTCGCTAGTAAGATACAAAAATGAGCAGCACTGCACCAGCTTACTACAATGCGGATGCAGTGCGTCAAGTTCTCACCTGGCCGCTGGTCAATAGAGCAGTGGAATCAGCACTTGTAGCTATAGTTAAGCAGAATCCGGATACCGCCGCCACATCCTTTGCCATCCAACCGAAGAGGAGTTTCGTCGCTTGCGGCAATGAACCTGGTAAAATTCTGCTCACCATGCCCGCCTATGTGGGAAACTACAGCCTGGAATCACCAAGATCTCCTGGGGAAGCGGAGCATACTCGCTCCACAATAGCCTGCAAGTTGGTGACCTCGTTCACAGGGAATCCCCTGCGGGATCCCCCACTGCCCAGCATCCATGCGCATGTGATGCTGTTCGACAATCAAACTGGCCAACTGTCGGCCATAATGGAGGGCACGGATTTGACCACCTGGCGCACTGTGTCCGCTTCGCTGGTGGCCACCAAGTATCTGTACTTCAGGCGCTTTGGGTCGAAGACGGAGCATGAGAGGACTATCAACGTGGCCATCCTAGGCTGTGGAGTCCAAGGGCAGCTCCATGCCGTCGCCTTCTGCGCGAACTTCCGTGTGAAGAAGCTCAATCTTTACAATCGCACGCTGGCAAGAGCTCAGGGTTTGGCGGACCAACTGCAGCGGGAGCTGGACACCGAAAGTGGAACCCAGATTAAAGTTTGCCCAAGTGCTCACGAGGCTTGCCAGGATGCCCATGTCATCTGCATTGCCACGTACTCCACGGAAGCGGTCATCAAATTTGCGGATCTGAAAGCCAAACAGGGTGTTCATATCAATGGTAGGCCTGTGGTTTTAAAGGAATATTAAGATACCTACTATTCACTTTAACTATTGATTTCAGCGGTGGGAGCCGGCGAAGTTCACTTTTCGGAGTTGGATCCAGACATTTACCACCAGTCCAAGGTCTACGTGGATTGCTATGCCAATGCCGAAGCTGAATTGGTGGGGCTACCTGCCCCGATCACCGCAGAAGTGGGACAGATCATTCTCAGTGGAAACTATCCCAAGGAGGTAGAAATCACCATCTTTCAATCCATGGGTGCGTTTTTATTTAGTTTACTTTACTTTACTATATGACTATCTCTGTCTTTTTCAAAGTTGTATTATAACTCATTTCACATTTTTTTTCTATTTAAGGCATGGCCTCTGAGGACGCCTGCGTGGCCCAGGCGGTTCAGGATTGCATTCTCTCTAGCGCAAAAGATTCCTGATTGCTGTCCAGCTGGCAAAGCAGTTCCGGAACCAGCCCAAGCCAAACCACTCAATGCTTAATCTTATATGTGTATATGTGTGTATATAAAAAAGCTATCGGAAACATAACAATCGGTTCGCTTGCGAACTACAACAAACCCAACCGGCCGGAGACGTCCTTCCGGTCGTCACTTCCAGATCACAGTCACATTCGTGTCCTTCTCGATGTCCCGCTCGATGGTGCAGGGCGAGAGGCCCGTCTTGCAGCAGATCTCATCAAAGCTGATCAACCCGGTGTACATCTTCTGCCGCCCGGAAGGCACTGAGCCCGTAAACACCGGGTACTTGTGGATGCAGCGGATGAATCTGTGCTGCAGCCCGAAGATCACCATTCGCCGCTCATCGATGTTGTGGTGCTGGGGGCACAATCGCTGGCAGATAGCCCGCAGCGTGACGCCGTGAGTCATCGACGCGTAGAACTGAAAGATGCGTTGCACACTGGGCAGCGTCTTGTCCGGACGCAAAGCCACGTATTTGCGACAGGCGCCGCTCAGTGATGCACTCTGGATGAGATGCTTTAGGTTCTGCGTCATGTACACGTTGCTGTACTTCAGGATGGGCAGAAGCTGGACGACCCCGTAGTAGACCAGATTCTGTATGCACGACTTGACCAGGTCCGTTTCCACGTCCGCTTCGGCGGCAATACGCGCAACATGGTTGATTCCATTTATATAAGGCAGGATCTGGGGGAAATCACAACAGTCCAATGAGATTACAAATTACATCGTGAAGAGAAAAAATAATATAATATTTAAGTACAACTATGGAATCATGTTGAGCCCGAACCTGTTGCGTGGTAAGGTCCCAGTTGTCCAGTGGAGCGTCGCGCAGGTTCGCCAGCAGGAGGGGCACCATGTGATCCTTGACCGGCGGCGGGTCCGGTTTGTGCATGACAATCTTCAGGTAAATGGTGTTGTCGCCCTCAACAATGGTGGCCACCTTGCGCTCGTTAAGGTCGCGTAGTACTGTCTCAAAAATATTCTGTAGGCGGCGCTTGTCATCTTCGCGAGACAGGAAGCACGACTCCTCCTCCATCATTATAAGGTACTCGGACAGCTTCTTGACTACCGGCTCGTACTGGACGCTCCTGGCCCGCGAATCGCACACAAAGCATAGGTTGAATAGGAAGGCATTCCGTGCGTACTTCTGCTGATCCTGGATGCCCACTGGATAGCCGACTATCTTCACGTCCATCGCGTTGACGGTGAGTATGCAGCGTTGAAGATGCTGCTTGGGTATGATGTAAACGTTAATGGCATCGAATACATCCTTGGATATGTAGTTATCGGGAACCTGAGGGACGTGGATCAGAATTTGATAAAATTGCGTTATTAGTGCTCCTGGGAACCGGCTCACCTGGCAGCTTATCTTGCAGCCCGCCGTTGCATGGAATTCGCTGAGGAAAATGCACCGGATCTTACCCTCCGTGCTGCCATGGGCTCCCGCTGCTCCAGCTCCCGATTCGTCTTCTCCATTCGTTACCGTGACCGCGCCGGCCGTTGTCGACGTCGCAGCCGTCTCGTTCGTATGGGAATGCATGCCGTCCACAGGGTTCCGGTATCACCGCATCCACATCCTCTGCTTTCTACAGCGGAGTGGACTCCAAAGCCTTAACAGCAGGTGGCACAATCCAATAACAGTGGAGGAATACGCTGTAATGTTATGTTAGGCGATGCTGTGGTGTGACCATAGCTTTAATGGGGAAAAATACTACAATGCAAACAAATTCTTACACGTTATTTTTTAGTCCATTTTTTTTTTTACCTTGTTACTATATAAGAGGCCTTTACTGATAACAAAAAAATAAAAAAATACCTGAAAAATACTATTTATCATTGTTTCAATGTATATGTGACCATTTTTAACAACAAATTTATTAAAGTTATCAATTGAATGAATTGAACAACTTGTTTGATACATTTAACACCGTTTTATTTATTGAGTAGTATCTTTATTTCATATGTATATACATTTATAAAGCTATATGCAGACATTGATGTATATTTCAGAGCCCGCTCTGTGGTCATACTAATATTTGCCGAAATGGAAACGTGAGAATTGTTTTGTTTTTTTTTTTTGTTTTTATAATTTTTTCATTAAACAGTGAATACATGCAGATGATTTCGCTTCCATTCCAGGGTCAATCCCACGTTCTCGTACCTCACCAATCTGGAGGTGATGCAGATTCTGCAGAAGATCAAGAGCACAAAAAAGAAGTTCGGCATGCGAAACTTGGCTACGGTTACCTATGAGGTGTTGCTTTTTGAAAATATTTAACTAATGGATGATAAATTAACCAAATACGTGGTTCTACAGGCTTTACAGTATCTGGAGGAGTCGCCCTGCAAGACCCAAACTCGTGAGAACATTGCGAATTACGTGAAGGATCTGTCTTCCTATCGTCTGAAGTCCCAAGAGATCCTACAAATGATCAACGACCCGCCTACAAGTGCCCTTCACACGCAGCTGGTGAGGATTAGTCTATCATATGCCAAAGAGGTTAATTAAATACATATAATTACCTCTTCAGCTTATCGACGACAATAAAGCTCCACTAACCGATGAAGAGAACGAGAAGATCATCCAGCTGAGCTACAAACACTTCCATGGAGGGGAAACTAAAGACGCCACTAAGGAAACACCGGCGGAAAAACCTGCGGAGACCACTGCAAAGACCGGCAAGCAATCTGGAAAGCGCAATTCCCAGGCCAAATCCACTCCAGCGGAAGAAGTCGTTCTAGCGGACCAAACCACGCCAGCTGGTGGAGTTACGCCTGCGGATGTCGTGACTGCTTCAAATAAAGTCAGTACTGTAGTTGTAACTACTCTAGCGGAAGAAGCAACTCCATTGGAAACAGAGAATAAAGCTACTTCAGCGAATGAAGCCACCACAGCGCCTGCAACGACTGAAGCCACTACAGCGCCTGCAACGGATGAAGCCACTCCAATGGAACTCGATGGGATTCCACAAATCGATTCCAGTCCGCCAGCAGATGGAGAAAAACCTGGGGAGCAGCCACCGAAATAACCAAACTGCTTATTACGTTTAACGTTTCATATTTTTATGTTGATGTAGCGTATAAAATAAGCTAAAAAGTTAAATTATTTATGTTCGCTTCTGATCGCCCAAATCCTCGATAACGTCTTCGTCGATCTCGGCCCATTTCTCGGGTATGACATCGAACAAGTCATCCTTGACGTCGCCCTGAATGACAATCTCATCGTCGCCGGTCACCGAGGAGCCACAGGCAAACTTTGTGCCAAAGAACTTGGCGGCCACCTTGAGATCAATATCTGGAATAGGCAGGGAGGGCCATAATTAACAATTATGGCTATGAAGGCGAAAGGATTTTCTTAGCATGCAATGTGCCTGACCAAACTAATACCAAGTTTTGTGCTATTAATACTCGTAATATGTCACCAAGACCTACCGAAAGTGCTCAATCCTGTTACCACGGTCACGGACTTCTTCTTGCCGCGTGCCGCCCGCGAAACGCAGATACGTTTGGGCACATCCTCCTTCTTCTTGACGCGCAGCAGTCCCTTGCCACCGCGCTTTTGGCGCTTCTTGTCGTCATCCGTCCCGTCGGCGGCAGCAGCCTCCTCCTCGATTTTCAGTCGCTCGAAGTCGTCGGGCATGTGGCGCTCCAGCCAGTCCTTACACTTCTCGTACTCCGGATAGTACTCACAGTACTGCAGACAGGGATATGGATAGGGATCATATGGATTTTCCCAGGTTTGCAGACGAACTCACCTCAATGGGCATCGTGCAGTGGCCACAATACTTCATCTGGATCGGATAGGTGACGCCTTCGCGCGGACCCACCTGCAGGCGGTCGGCGACGCTGTTAGTGCCTACGTCCTCGTTCGTCATTGCGGATCGGATTGACTGGGTGAGTTTTTCTCCGGGTTATTGAATTATTAAAATAATGACAGTTTTAAGCAGTCGGATTCTGCAAACTGACCGTTTGTGTGGAGGCGCGTAAAATATACTAAAATTGGCACACATATATCGTGAATATACCACAGCAAACAGGGTTGATTTTACTGATAGCTAAGGCCACCTAGTAATAATGCAATTTAGATTGTACTTAATTTACATCTTCATATCGCTGAGTAAAAACATAATGATCACACTTTATGATCATTTATGCATTTTTATTTATTTTACATTTATTCGTAAAATTTAAAAAAATTTCGATATTAAAATACCAAATATGTTGGTTCGAAAAAACAGCACTTGGCAAAATACCGCATGGGGCGGCATTTAGATTAATTTGCCGGTTGTAGCTTGCAAGCAACATTTTCATAAAAATTGATTAAAGTAGGCTTAAAATTGTATTCGAACACAAGTCAACTGAAGACCTTTGGTTTCCCTAGTTGTTTCGTACAGTCGGAAATTCCGATTTCACACAAGAGTCTACATTTCCTACTTTTTCAAAAGTTTCCACCGAAAACATTCAACAACAAACTTCGTCCCTAACAATACAAGGCAAAGTAAAATGACGACACAAGATGCTCTAATGCTGAATCCCAATGTCATCGTCCCGCTGAACTTGCCGCAAGCCAGGAGGAGAAGGAAGGTGCTTCGCCGCCTGCTAGAGAACAAGCGGACGGAACAAAAGGTGGGCCATTTCCATGTCGCATTTGGTGGCGACCAAAAGAAGCCATTGTTGAAATGGGCATACCTCGCCATCGCTATCGTCGCAGCAGTTAGCCTGGCGCTGAAGGTCACCGGCAACATGACCACGGTGAGTGAATTCCTGAAAAGCTACAAAAACCAGTACCACTCGATCGTGCACAACCAGGACAACTACTGCAATCCCGCTCAGCGGCTGGGCGACATGGTCCTACACGCCCGCCACCAGGTACTCAACCAGGATAAGGCATTGGACCAGCTGGAACTGGCACTGGACAACACTAAAGAGGTGACTAACGGGGGTCATTGCTTGCTTTTCTATATCAGTGATATCGTATAGTTACGAGTCATCCACACAAATAGCCAACTGGCTAGCCAGATCTTTGGTGAACTCAATGAATTAACAACAATATGTATCTTCGAAACAGATCATCGTCTTGGTGGGCACCTCAGGCGTGGGCAAGAGCCACACTGCGCGCATCTTGCGGGAAAACTTTCCCTGGCCTGAGAACGTGAAGACACTTTCCTGGAGCGGTCATCGTTCTTTGCGCCGAGTGAAGAGCATGCTACCCGACCTCACATTTTGCGGCCAGCATTTGATCCTAATCGACAACATGACGCCGAAGGATGCACAATTTGTGCCTGCCATTAATCAACTGATAAATGAGGGCGAAAAGATCGCCAACCTCACTGAGCACCCGCACCAGAAGCAGTTGACCGTTGTGCTCATCTTTAGCGTGAATGGCATGCAGGCCGGCGAGGCATTTGAGATGGATATGGTGACGCTTAGAAATATGCCACACATCCATGTGATCACCTATGCAACTCTGGAATCCACCCATCTGGTCGACTGCATCCGCAGGGAAGCTGCCATCGCGATGGTGCAACTGGAAGATGAGCACGTAGATGAGATAATCCGGAGTATCGATGCTAGCGCCTCTGGCTGCAAGTCCGTTTTGGCCAAAGTCCTGCTTTACGGCAAACCAATAATCGACGAGTCTCAGGAAACCAACTAAGACCAATCAAATGACTGATTCAAACGTTTCAATTAAGTAGTTATATAAATGTTTAGTAAGTTAGCACATATCAAAGGCATTTTGACAAACCAGACGTGATAAATAGCAAAATAGGTTAGAAAAAACTATTAGGCTAGCATCGGTAGCATTTCAGCAAACAAAATTTTATGTTGCAAAACGTTCCTGTGTATCGTAACTGTGAATTGACCATAGAATTACTTTTCTATTTTGGTACTAACAAGTTTGTGAATAATTCTGAAATGAAATTAGGCACATCACAAAATTTTTGTAACATAAGCCGATATATGACCTTGAGCTGTAAAATGATACCTCTAAGCCTTAGAAATACAAAATACAAATACACCTAAGAAAGTTTAAATTGTAAGTTGATTGAAAATGCCATAAGCTACTAGGATCAACTATGCTTTGATCAACTTTCCACTTTAGCTTTAATCGCAACCCGAAAAGTATGCTACTGACCGGAGCACCCTGCTCCATTCCCGGGCCATAAAAACAAGTTATGCCACACGCTTTTGCTGCTGTTCTGGCTTTTGCCCTGTTTGCGCTGTATAGCCATTGCGAAGAGACGCTCCGTTATCGGATAACTTGGATAACGGACGTCGTGTGTCGGCGGGATTTGCCATTTTACGGCCCACATTACCATGGCCTACAAACAGAATTGGCGAACCAGGCCAAAGGCGCTCGGTTGTCCAGGGTCAAGTGCGTTTGCATATTTTTATTGCCTACTCGTACACTCGCTGTCCCGCAGGCGCACACGACGTATGCGTGATGTGGGTGTACGAGGCGTGCATGGGTGTTCCATTGAGACGACGACCCACTTCCGGACGAATCCGTGCTCCGACCTTCCGGACTACGCCCGCCGAATGCTGAATTGCTCCGCTTTTGTTGTTTTCAGTGTTCTCTACTCCGTTTTTTTTCAAAAATGTTTTTGAGGGTGCTACGATCGGTGAATCTGAATAGCATTTTTGAGTATCTGCATCGGCAATTAAACAATCTGTGTTCAACTTAATTTGGCAATTAGTTAAACAATGCGAATATCGTAGGCTAATTGGCGAGCAATTAGCAGGCGGCTGTATAAATTGTTGCAGCCATGGGAGATCTTCGAAAACCGCGAAATGGAGCAGTTGCATTATTGGAGCTGCATTATTGGCTTGCTATGCATTCTGCAAACCCTTCGAGGGACTCAGGTCTATAAAAACAGTCCTTAAAATCTTGGGCATTGTCTCAAATCATATTATATAGGGCACCACCTACGAGATACTAGGCGATGACACGACCTTGAATATTGTGTGCAGTGCTGCAGAGGATAGGGGCAATACACCGATTCGCCAGATTTTGGACATTAGCAGCGTGAGTTTCGATATGGCCGCAGATCTGGAAACCCTATACTTCAATGGCGACATCAAGGTGTTGAAGGATGTGCCCAACATACCGATTGGGATGCAGGTCGATATATTCCGCAGGGAACGCAGTGAATGGATTCCCACCCCGCTCGCCATGAAGAGGGACAACTTATGCCAATCCTTGTCAAATCCCATGGAGCTGTGGTATCCCATATTTATGAAGGTCCCCAAGGAGGAGTTCATTTGTCCGCCGACCAAGGGGGTGAGTTCAGAAAGAATGGAGTTTTTAAGGTTAAAATATTTGAAATATTGGTAGAAATGGTGGTTCAAAGCTATCTTATCCCATTCCTTAAGGGATTTCATTCGTTGTCCACATTCCAGCACGTTTACAGCCTGGCCAATGTGAGTAACCATGTGTTTGTGAGGAACATGCCCCGCATGGACATCGCCGGAGATGTGAAGGCCGTGGTCCATCTGACCTCGGGAGATATGAAGACCTGCGCGGTACTCTTCTTCAAGATCTACGCCTCGAACCATTGACAATTGTGGCGGGAATGGGGAAGTGTGGGCACTCCACCCTGACAGTGGACTAGTGGATCTCGAGGGGATCCCACTGTTTGCCCACTTTATAGTTTATACTTTATAGTACCCGGCTGCGCTGGTTTTATGGCCTGATCTGGTGGTATTTGCTCGACTTCAATGGCGCGTCCCACCGTTTATGGCCCTAGCTAAATGATTTGCAAATAAAGCGAAATATTTCATATTCATGCACCCGAAACAGATTTTTGTCGCTGCTTCGGATTCCCAGTGGGTTTTCTCACCTTTATCCATTTTTCGGTTTTTTCTGGTGGCGCTGGCGATAAGCCACTCACTCGAAATGGGAACTTAGCCCAGTAATCTCCTTCTGGTATTTGCCAAAGGATCACATGCGGCGCCATCCCCATCCACACCCACACCCACAACCACATTCATACCCACATCAACGTCCAAATTCGCTGAACTCATTCGTAAGTGCGCGTGATGATTGCTACGTATAAGGTGATTTCCCCCGTCCAAAACTGACTTTGCAGATCTCGGGAAATTTACAATGTTTGTGCATTCGGGTTCAGCTGGTTTTCTTATAAAACGTATTGTTGGATGCACGTGGTCATGTGCACACTTGTCATGTGAATCATTTGTGGGGGGCTAAAATGAGGCAATAAAATTGTGCTAATATTTGTGTTGTTCCATTGCCTACTTTTTGATTTAAGGGCTAAGCAATATGGTCAATTTGGAAGATTAATAGGTCATTTAATTAATTGTTTCTCAGGCTGAACTACATTTTAGCTATAATCCTTAAATGCTGTCTGTACAAATGAGATGCAAATTGGAACACATGTCCTTGGAGCTGGGGTCCTTGAAAATATCCATTGACTTGATAGATTCGATCTAGTTATCACATAGACGATGAAATATATGTGCTTATGAATCTGCTGGGAGTTGTCAACGTTGTGTAGTTTCCGCTTTCCATGAGATGTTATGGAATACGTATGACTCTATTTGTTTCTGGGCCGCTATCTGTTTGCCCCGCGCAGTGTCGTAATAACAATAAAAAGGCGCTTTGCTGACGAAAGTCAAGTCACAACAAACGATAAATTCGGAATATAAATAGCAAATAGTAATAAATCTGCACTCGACCCGGCGTATAACGCCTACTGGCGCAACATGTTCTAAATGCCTTTTAAGGTCGACTCCACTAGGTCGGTCCCAGCTACAGGGTACCAGCGTGCTCGATAGCAATCGCAACTGGCGGTATCCATGTTCGATTGAGATCGATGGGATGCGATCACAATGCCTGCGACTAGACTATATGGGATACAGTGCGTTACGGCATTGTAGGTAAGCATGAAAATATGCCGCCTGTACTGTGAAGATTTGTTTTCTTGCTCGATGAATGAAATAATTATTGTCAAAGTTCCTGTAAATATTATGCTATTTAAATGTGCCTCCCCATTTAGTTCCTCCATTACTTTGCTGCAACGCACTGTTTGAATGCAAATTTCAAGTCGAATGCTCATGCAAATGCAATATCGGAATTCATATGCATCAATTACAATGTGTAATATAATGGTCACAGCCGATGTGAGTCGATCGAATGTGTTTGCATTATAAAAACCCGTATTAACTAACCATCCACGAAGACCGCTTTGAACTGGTGCTGACCCGATCTGACCGGATTATATCGGTTATATGGTTCCACGTTGACCCATTATCCAAGAGCTAAAACAGCCATTTTGAATCATGAAGGTATTCGGAAGTCGCCCATTTCAAGGACATGCTGTCATAAGGCTGATCAAGGATCAGAATATGATGTGTATAATAATAGTAATGCTACAAAGTATTAAAAAATTATGTCCACTAGTACTTTTTCACAATTGGTTCGACAGATTCGAAGGTTGATTGACTCTATTTCAAATATACTTTTAGTTCCAGGGCGAGCACAATAGTTTCTTGCCAATGCTAAGCTTGGCGAAGAGATGTTATCACATTTCTAAACAACCAAGTTCGTATTTAATCAAAGCTAATTACTTTCACAGTCTGTCATTATCAGTGCACGATAAAGCCTAATGGATATAACTCCCACCAATTATAGAAATAGACAACTAACGTCGAATTCTAAAAGGGCACAACACGCAAGCTCTTTGAGATTGATGTGCGAGTATTTAAAACTAAGTGTGTGCATTTATTATTTTGTATACCTATGGATACAGTATCTGTATCTGGAGCTAAAGACAAAAACTAAGTGTATTTATTTGCATTTCGTAACATTTCTTCCTTTTTGTTTTTTCTCTATCTTTCTATTGTTTGATCCCATATTGTTAGTTATATAATTGCAATAGATAATTCGTGCAATTTAGCGGGCAGGGCCAATGCGACATGCATATGCATATATTGATATAGATATAGAATTGTGGATCTGAACGATGTGCAAACAGGGTACTTGGCTACTGTTTTGTATCTAGCTCTATAAACATTGTTTGCCCGGTCGTTCTGTTTATTTGCCTGTTTGCACTCAAGAGTATTCTCCGGGATAGTTGGCAGTGCAAATAGATAAGACCCTGGGATGCACTTCCATTGCGAATTCAGCGATTCAAGCCCTAGGATTTAATGCAGGAAAAATCGTATACCCAAATTATTTTTAGATTTAATGGCTGCTTGACACAGTTGCATGCTATTTTTTAAGTCATAAAATGGGTTTGTTTGCCCAGATTCCCACAAAAAACAAGTGACCCAACGGCTAAAACTAGCAAATATTTATTAAAGTTAACACTCTTGCTAATATAACGCATACGCCCTGTTTGCAGATCTAAATGCGACGCTTCCTCCTTTATTTATTTGTATATTTCAACAGTTTTGAAAATGGTTTGCTTTGAAATGACTGACTCTCAAATCGATTGCTCGAAAAGTACGTAAAGTATTACAGATGCCCCGCAATTCCTTGGAAATTCCCTGTTGAGAGCATTCAGCCCATTGGGTTCGCTACTCCACGATCATTTCCTCCCAATCTCTGACGTTGCACTTTTAATTTGTCGCAAGTCGTTGACATTTCATCTACGCTCCAAAATGGAGCCACCACCCACTCTCATTTGATTAAATACAGAAACAGCATTTAATCAAAATGAGAAGAGTAAACACGCAGAGTACACATCGTTGGCCATTCGCCATTCGCCGTTCGCCGTTCGCATTTTGCTTATTAAGCAAATAAATAAATAAGAAGGGTATTAAATTAATTAAATAAATAATACTTTCAGGAACAAATAAATAACAAATTTTATTGCGCAAAAAGGCAAACAAGTGAGTGTGGAGCCGACACGCAAATGGAAGATTCCGGATACGATGGCCAAGACTTGACTGGGGTGCGCTTAAGTTGGGTAAAAACAATTATTAACATTTAGCCACGTCTATTAAATACTCAGCCATGCTTATTAGCATTTTATTCAATCTGAATTTGGAAGGTACACATATTCACTATCTAAAAATATAATATTTTAAATGCTCGATAGCCACTTCCTACACCCTTGTATAATGGCGAAAATTCCCAGACAGTCACGGATTCCGGATCAGGGAGTTACGGATCACGTGACCTTGACTTGGACATGCTTCGCTGACTTGTCTTTATTATTTGCCTAAACTATTTCCAATTAGTTGTGTGCAATAATTGATAGATTAGCTAAATATGGCAATCATGCAAGCGCTGATGAAGGTTGTCAGACTTTAGTCGGACTGCCAGATTCCAGATTCCCTTTCGGCTGCCAGGTAATTTGGCCCGTAATTACGGCCATCACCTAATTGCCTATGAGTATCATTGTGTAAACGATACAGCGGCTGTGGGGAAGCCGAAGCTGCCATCCGATCGCTGATCATTTAGGTCATTAGATGCGATCATGCCTCAGTGGAGATCCCAGTTGATTGAGTAATTAGGAAGTGCAGGGATCCCTCATCCAAATCAGGGCATCCATATCCATATCCGACTCAAAATGATCGAGTATCTGTATCTTTTCTGATTGGCTCAATTGGATATTATTATCGAAGTAACATGGATTGTTGCGATTTAGAGAATCAGTTAACGATGCAGCAAATCAAATTGAATGCTTTCAGACAGCGCTCAATTATGTTATTAGTTTTCAAATACGTTTCTAAAATTATGTATAAAATGTTTGATTTAATATTAGGAAACTTCAGTTGTTGAATAATTAAGCGAACGATCTACTAATTCAGTGCGCAGCATTTGCGTTCTTGATCTTGAATTTTGCATTGGAATTTGAATAAATAACAAATCTACACAAGGCTTTTAAATATGCTTTGCATGAAATTCTTCAGATTTAATTAATTGAAACATATTTTCCTTTTAATTAAGTCCTAATGAATCCGATCTCTTTTGGGTTCATTTTTTATTAGAAACTCGTTTAAAATTATGCCAAGTAAAGGTTCTTGATTTATGGGCAACAAACAAGGCATATGTATATCGTTAGATATTATTATAATTTATTAGTGATTAAATCATTTTAAAAAAGTGCTTTGCAGAAATATATAAAGATTTTAAATTGTGAGGCAGAATAGAATTCAAAATACATGCTTTTTGTAGCAGTGTAGGCGAAAGGTACGAGCCCGATTATCGAAAGCGTTAAGCCTCCTTTTGTGGGCTTTGTCTCAATGTGTTAAAGCAAATTGGCTGCAGGCGGCCGGGCGTCATTCCTTAACCCCCTTAACCCCTGATGGCCAATGAGTGTACACACACCCAGTTGTCAAAAGCCAGTCGACCATGCCAAATAAAAAAAAAACATAAGACTCTCGGCAAACAAGAAATGGCCCCTCAAAAATGTCACATTTGCACAATTGATTAACAGGCCGTTTACAGTGGCCCATAAAAGTTTTCGTATGCCGGGCGTTAAATTGCCATTTACAGCTGGAAAGTTTTTTATTCTGGATGGCAAATTTGATTTCTGGTTGAATCTGGTGCTGAAAAGTTTCCTGGCAATTGCATTTTATTGAACCTTTCG